ATTAACACAAATCATTTCCTTCTATTTTCTTCCCTTCCCTTTCTTTTCCTCCCCCTCCATTTCCTTTTATTTTCCTCCATTCCCCTCCCTTCCCTTCCCTTTACTATTTTCTATCCAAACAAGGCGTTAAAGAAGACCGACCTTTTTCTCTCTCTACTCTAGAACCTCATGCTTCTGATTAGAACTCTCCCCAGATCTCTAGTTTTGGTGCTCGGAAGCCTCCGGCTTCTTGAGCTTTTTTGGTGCTTGGAAGCCCTTTGGCTTCCCAAGCATGATGGAGTCGATCAATTGTGCTCCTTTCTCTGGTGACCACCTTGCGTGGTCTGCCGGCTTCTTTTGTGACCCCTTCAGGTGGTCTTTGTTTTCTTTCTTTTTATGTTCCTTGTTTTCTTTTCTGTTTTCAGATTTGGTGGCCAATAGAACAAAATGGCAGAAATTACAGGTTGGTCGCTGCTTGTTTCATTCTCCAAGCCACGGCATCCTGGAGCGTGGATTTCTCTGTTTAAAGAGTAAATTGAAGGGTGTCCAGTACTTTCTGAAACATTCGATCAAAGGAATTTGTGAATTAATCTTCTTAGAGGTTGTTTGTGTGATTTCACTGCCTTTCGTTATATCTGATGAACTTGGTCTACACTGAATTTTAACTCCAGTTGTGCTTTTCTGGTTTGTCATTAATTCTTATCAACAGGATAAGAATTTTTTTGTAAATGCCGTATGATTTTGATGAAATTATATGTTTTAGTTGAGTTCAAAAAAAAAAATATATCACTTAAAGAATCATCTATATGAAAAGGAGTGTGCTTTAAGTATGCACATGCACATCTCCAATATGCAAAGTGGCTCAATTTGACTCATCTTGTGTAGCCTATTATCATACACAAAAGTAACAAAAATGTGAACCTCCTAGGGATCTATGCATCACAAAAGAAAAAGGAAATACCTGGGGCAGCAAAGTCTGTTGTGCGTGTGAAAGCTAAAATTTATATTTAAAATTATGGTTTGCTTTGTGTATAAAGAAAAAAAGTATACCAAGCCCATCAAAATGGACAAACCATATTTTAATTAAAAACAAAGTACATCAGAACCCAATTGATAATCATAAAGAGTAACATTTGTCTTCTGAATACTCTATCTTTAAAACATCATAAACAACAAACAATTTAATTTTGGAGGCCAATCAAGGTAGCAACTTTGTAAAGTTCATATCCAACTTATGACTTATGTGTAGCATTTAGATCTTATAGGAATTAAGAAAGCATCCTCTCAATGTATATAGTTCCATATGTATAAGAAATGTACTTTTATCATACAAGTATGTATAAGAAAGCAACATCTGTTTTCTTGAAGGATATTTCTCTCTTTATTACTATAAAACAACCCATGAATTTAAAGTCTTTGCATGAATTTAATAATACATATTACAAGTTGCACATGAGTTTGAGAAATATAAAAGATCTGTCTTTTTTTTTTTTCCTCTTTTTTTTTTTCTTGTAGAAAAAAGGGATCAATTTTAGTTAGTGAGGTAACATTCTTGCCACTAAGCAATGTGACAACACCCAACTTATGCGTACACCATTCAAACCTGCAAAGAACTAAGCAAGCAGCCTCAATATACCTCCATGCATGTTTACAAGAGATGTACCTTTATCAAACAAGTGTAGAGATGATGGAAGCATAAGACCAACTCACCATCAAATTTCACTTGGAAAGGACATAAGCCACAATTTCTTTGATCTCAATTTTCAGAATCACCTTGACTCTGTAGACATAACAACAACACAATACTAACAATGAAAGGAAAAATTGTAAAAAAAATTTTCCTTTTTAAAATCATGATTTATTAAGCGTTCATACATGCCTTTTTAGTTTTTCCTGTTATTTTGAAAACTCTAAATGAAGATTTCTGTAAAAAAGGAAAAGAGATAAAACTTAAAAAAAGAAAAACCAAAGGAGATCTTTCGAATTAATGCATACCTTTTGTATGAACTGTAGTTGTATGGTCGAGTTTAGGTTGCCATCCCAAAAGCCTTCATCTTCATCTCTAGTCAATTTTACTTTCTGTAGTTTTGGCGTTCTTATTTCATCCATGGAGAAAGTCTGCATACTTGGACAATCCATCAAAATCACCTTTTCCAAAAGTGAGAACTCAAACTTGCATTTAACCGAGCAAAAGCTTGAAAGTCTAGGCAGACCACAAAGTTGCAAATACTTGAGTTTGCTAAAGACAATCTCCTCCTTCACATCATCCTCCAAGCATGTGACAGTTTCCAACAAAGGTAGTGGAGTGGCATTTTGAGTTTGTGATTGGCTAACAGCAGGTTCATAAGACTCAAGGATCTCTTCAAGTGAATCACAGTTCCATATTTGGAGCTTATCTAGTCTTTGAAGCTTTTCCAACATACTAAGTGGGAAAATATTCAATAACTTTTCACATGAAACAACACTCACCAAAGTTAGTTGGCAAAAAGAATCTACTTTGAGCTGGTCTTTCCATATCTTATTCAAGCTCTTCACATGTTCAATTACCAAATGCTCTAATTTGGGGAATGCCACCTAAAAATTTACATAATTCAATTAAAATTAAACATAAACATAGATGTAACAAAATGAAAATATTGGAATCTAATTTTTTTTAAATGTAAAACTTTATGAGGACAAGAAAATAATAGTAGCATTATAAGACATTAAAAAGTAAAAAATAAGGGGAAAAAAAAAACAAAAGAGAAATCACCTTTGCGTCAAAGAGAGAAAGTGCACAACTGTTGTTGACATTTTCAGAACTAACTATCATGTCTCCAAAAAAAGAGCTAGAGATGAAAGTCTTCAGCATAGGGCACTTGCTTATCTTAAGTTTCCAAAGGCATGGTAATTCCAAGTAATTTCCAAAACAAAATCTTGTGAGTTTTGGAAGGTCTTGGAGCAATAGGAACTCCAGGTTAGGGAAGAAAATCTTGCACATCTTTTCCTCATCCATTGATTCTTCTACAAGTATTACCTCTTCCATCATATTACAATCACAAATCTTGAGCCAATTCAATTGCTCAAAACTCTTAACCATGGAGGATGTCAATAGATATTCCAAATTACCACAACCCTCCACACACAACTTTCTTAAATTTTGGACATAAGAAGAGATTTCTAGAATCAAATTGTCCAAAATTCGTTGAATGTTATTTGAAGATAAACTCAAAAACTCCAAGCTAGGAGTCTCTACCTGCAAAGATTCTTGGTTAGTCTATTAATATAAGATAGTAGCAAGATGATTATCATATTTGCTTTTAGCTTAAGATAATTTAAAACTCCAAGTTGAGAAAACTCAACCTAATAGAAACTTCGTGAAAAAGTTTTTTTTATTGATTAAACTAAAACCATTAGACGAATAATCCAAAAGCAAGAACATGAAAATGGTGTGCAATTATGTGAGGTAAATTGATTTTTGAGTAGAAAATAGCCAACTCTTTTTAGACGTAAACATTATTTGGGTCAATGCAGGGCAAAAAAGAAAAAAAATATATTATTTGGATCAATAATCTTATTTTTAAACTTAAGTAACTTCACATTTTAAGTGGTGATGTACTAGTCAAGAGTCTTTATTTTCTAATCATATATTAAGTGAAACTTATTTAAGGAGATTCATTCATGTGGTTAAAGAGGAAGTTAGAGATGGGAAACACCAACCAGCGAGAAGCAAACATAAACATAAATATGCTGTAAAATCTTAATTACAAAAAATAAATATAAAAAATAAACCATGTTGCTGTTAAAAAAAAAAAAAAGAAAAGGGAAAAGAAGAAAAGAAACTAACCTTGCTGCTAAAGAGGTATTGGGATTCCTCTTTGTTGTGCTCTTTGGAGGATGCAGACGCAACAAATGTGACCATTTTTGGACAGTCTTTTACAATAAAATCATATAAACTTGGAAGCTCAAGACTATGACTTCCCATATAGAAACTTGTCAAATCTGAGCAAGACTCTAGATTGATCAACCAAAGATGTGGGAATTCCATTCTATATTTTGCTCCTTCTCCCATTATCACTTGTTCCATTGTTCCACAATTTTTTACTATTAATTGCACAAGTCGCACGAGGCCCAAGGCCATTGAATCCGTTAATAGGTACCTGAACTTGCTACAATCACAAATTTCCAGCACCCCAAGTCGTCTAAAATCTAAGAATTCTTGAGGATTCTCGACACGCCATGTTTCCAATAACTTGGGAAAATTTGATAGCATCAAAAGTTGTAACCCAGCAAATCCAACCTATGCAAGTGCCAAAAAAAAAAAAGTAGTTATATATAACAAAATATAAATAAATCAAATAATTTTTTATAAAAAAAATGAGTGGCTTCAAAAATATCTAGAAATCAATTCATACCTCTTCCATATACATTCTTTGTATAGTGGTATTAAGGTCACCTTCCCAACGCCACTTGTCACCTCCTTCAATTAATTCTACTCTCTGCAGTAGTGGTGTGCTTAGGTCACCCTCATTGAAGATCATTAATTTGGGGCATTGAATCACAATTAACTCTTCCAAAGATGGAAATTTGAAGGTGAAATTCCCTGAACAAAAGCTTTCTAATCTTGGCAACCATTTAAGTTCCAAAAATCTTAATTTAGTAAAAGTGATTATGATCAAATCTTGCATTCCATTTACTTCATTTTCAACTATTTTTGTCAGCATGTAGCACGTTGATACAATCATTCTTTCTAACTGCATCAGACTTTGGACTATTGAGATGGAAACCAAGTTTACCATTGCTCCACACGAGGCTATATTCAAAGTTACGAGATTCTGGAAAAAGGCAGGTGATGTTGACAAGCTAATCAAACTCTCACACCTAAAAACTTGAAGAGTTTCAAAATTTTGAAGAACAATTGACGAGTCACAGCTCCACATACGCCTGAGATATGGAAGGCGCTTTAGATTTAATGTTTTAATCCTTGAGAGTGTCTCAATTTCAATGTGTTTCTCTTGTTCTTCAACTTCTCCTTTTGAAGGGAACAGTTCTTTGAAATTACAAAGCTCCACGACAAGCTCTTCTAGATGGCAAAATCTTTGAAGTAATCTGAGGGGTACAACATCTGATTCATTATCAAGATAACCGTGAATTTTAAGAACTTTGACATTGAAAAAGAGGTCTCCTTTAAATTGGTGTTCACATATCACTGCAATGTCATGTCTTGATAGTGACAATTTTTCCAATTGAGGGATAACCTGGAAAGGAATCCAATGCAATAAAATTTTTGTGTAAGTTGTATATTTTTTCTTAATGAGATCTTAATTTTGTTTATCAAAAGGAGAAAATTATTAAAAAATATTGTGCATTATTTCACATGGCAACCAAATGCACTTTTATTACTTATTGAATACAAACAAATAAAATTAGTGTGCAAGTTGTATATTTTTTTTTAATGAGATCTTAATTTTGTTTACGAAAAGGAGAAAACTATTAAAAAATATTGTACATTATTTCACATGGCAACCAAATGCACTTTTATTACTTATTGAATAAAAACAACTCTTCTTTATTGATTAAAAAAAAAAAAGAATAAAAACTGCTCTACATTGCTTTTTTGGGTGGCCAGCATTAGTTGTATCTCATATTCACATAACAAATACTCTAAAATCTAATAACAGAGAGATCCCCAAACAATAACGGTAAAATTAGAGAAATAATTGGAATTATCACATGCATTTGTCACACAAATAATATTTCATCAAGAAAAGCATTCAGGTCTACTAAACAAGTTATTAATATTGCAATTCAATATTATTTTCATGTATAGTAGATTATTAAAAATTACTCTGATTCCATTATATATATATATATTTGAAGCAAGGAATTCTTTTATTATTTATTTTGGTAAGAAGCTTTGTACCTTCTCTATGGAGAAAAGTGGTAGTCGTACAGGGAAATCAAGTTGCCAACTGCCATC